AAAATGAAAGCGGACTTATCGATAAGATTCGAGGGCCCTTCTTCTACAACACTCCCACAATACCAGGTACGTGCAAATCAGTGAAAAGTTTCGTGTTCGAAACTTTCAAAGCAGCTTAGTATGAAACCCTTCATTTTGCCTAACCTTACCCTGAGCGCTATCAGAAGTCTCTAACTCTGCTCAAGTCCCCTGGCACCGGGTTTTTGAACGCCTCTCTACTTTAGAAGGATTTTGAAACTACGACGCTAGGAGAGTTGAGCAGAGTTGGGATACTGGTAGGAAAGGAGGAAAAATGAGGAAAAAGTTATAAAATGTTACTATCTGTTGTTTTTCGTCACCATTTGCCATACGAAGCTTATCCCAAGAATGGGTCAGTTGTCCTAAAAATTACACCACCGGGGCGTCGCGTCATCTAGCCAAGCTTCTCATAACAAATTATATTGCTATCAGCAATCACACATATTGGTTCGATTCCCAGCTCGGGAAAGCGTTTTGTCCATAACCTGTAATCTGGTGATATGAAGTTATGAAGTGGTTTGACTATCTCCTTTTTTCACAGTACAAAATCGACTCCATATCGCCGTCGAGTCCCACGTACACTCCAACCACCGCTCGCACCATTTCACTTCACTATGAGAACTCATAATCGACGACTCCAACAGAAGCCTAGGGCACTTTGTGCCCATCCTACCCGTTGTAATGAAATGCGAGCTCAAAATAGCAATTTCAGGCCGGTGTATCTATAGAGGAGATTGTAAGGTTAGTAGTGTCAGCGATGAAGAATTCTGGTATAACGGAGGTTGAAAAGGAAAGCCCAGAGGAGATCCTGCGGAGGAAGAGGCAGCAGGTGAGTTAGTGAACAACGATGGAGGTTATGGTTATAAATGACCAACGCTGGTTTTTTAGAACAATGAAGCCGCTGCTCGCTACCGTAAACGCCAGCGAGAGGCAAAAAATCTAGCTGAAGGAGAGCTGGAGCAGCTTTTACGCCGAAACGAAAGTCTTCGTCGAACAGTGGAACGAATGCAAATTGAAATCGCCGAACTGAAAAGGGCTGTGCTAGCACGGCCCAGCTAACGACAATTAACGTAGATACTGAAAGAAATAAAGAATATTTGGGCCTAGGGAATCATCGAATTCACTTAAAGCAGAAGTTTGAAGCCCTCATTGCAATAAACGTTCAAATGTGCTCATTTCCTAGCATTGACAATGCATTTTGTGTGTAGAACTATCAATTCTCATTCGCCATGAACGACTGATTCCTGTAAAATTTATTACCCACTCAAAGCAAATAGATGAACACTGCCTCTGCATAACTTCAGTTTTATTACGAAATGAAGTAGTGATGAAATCTATTAAGGAACGATTGAAACGAGAGGAATAATACCAGATAAAATTGTCCTGAGAGAACACTACACGACACTGTCCTATTGCAAACACTGAGGAAATGATGCCACTATGACGCTCTCTAAACGCTTACGTAAAGAAAAGTAACAGCACTATTGCAAAACACTACCCAAGACAGGAATCTGTGTCGCCACGGCCACAACGTAGAGTACTAACCACTATACTATTCTGGTTGCAAGGGAAGTCGTTGTAGTTTTCTACAATTGAAGTTTTACTGACTCCTTGAAAGAAACAAAACACATGAGGAAGTCGCAAAAGTTACCACCAGCGATCTATGCCATCTTCATCTTCGAACTTTTGTCTTGTATGGCGAAAGCAAAAGGTTGTAGTCTATTGGACCAGTGTCCTGGCTTGTACCTTCTTCCCACTTCCCATCCAGAGTCGAGTTGCTTCTGTCGGGTCACTGTTGTAGTGCGTGGACGAACGTTGTCGTGCAGGAATCAGATCATGCCGCAATTTCCATGCTTCTCTGCGATCTCGGTGGCCATTCTATCCAGCTCCTAATAGCACAAGTCCACCGCGAGAGTAGCGCAGCGCGGCAGTAGCTCGTAATGGATAATGCCTTAGCAGTCTCACCAAAACAGATCATAACCTTCAGAGGGTGAGACCTACCTGCCTTCCGTTGCGGCTCACAATGGTCATCCCTGTCAACCCGAGTGTTGGCGCAGCTTGATGTTAACCTAAAGACACCACTTCTCATCATCTGCGACGATGGACTTCAGCCAATCATCCGTGCACCTGTACGAGAGCCATTCCTTAGCCACCTCGTCACGTTGCAGACGATCGTGTTCGGTCAAGTCGCGGGGTACGCACTGTGCCAGGTTGTGCACTTTCCCCAAAATGATGTTGGTGATCGGCGGTGATACTGAAGGATACACCTGAAATTCATGCAAGTT